GATCAGCCTCACCTTGTAACACCAGTTGAAAATGTCAGGCTCGGTCCACCAGGTAGTCCAGCCGCTGTCCACACAAGACTAGGGTGGACCCTCCAAGGCCCAGTTAAGTTCATGGGGCGGCCTACCAACTCCGTTCAGTGCCTATTCACCTTCTCTTCCCCACAACTCGAGGAACTACACAAACACGTCGAGAAGCTGTGGAAAATGGACTCAGTCCCTCACCGTCCCGATAGAGAAGTCATGCGATCCAAGCAAGACCAGTTGGCTGTGGCTGTATTGAAAGCTAAAACCCTTCGCGTAAACCTGAACGGCACCCAAAGGTACGCTACACCCTTACTTCGACATCCAGACATGCCGCCACTTAAAGCCCCAAAGGAGTCTGTTATGCCACTGCTACGCAGCACCGAGAGACGCCTCCTGAAAGATCCTGAACAGGCTGATACCTACAAGAAAGAAATTCAGAAACTTATCGATTCTGGTGCAGTACGTGAGGTCACGTTGGAGACCCTCCACCAGGAGGAGTGGTACATCCCCCATCATCTGGTCAGACATAACGGGAAGTCACGCCTCGTCTTCAACTGCTCACATCAGTACCTCGGACAGTCCCTAAACCAGCACTTGCTAGCTGGCCCCAATCTCGGAGCTTCGTTGCTGGGAGTCTTGTTGAGGTTCCGCGAGCGCCCCATAGCAGTAAGTGGGGACATAAAGGCGATGTTCCACCAAGTACACCTCCTTCCCGAAGATCGTTCCTTACTCAGATTACTGTGGCGTGACATGCAAGTCGACAAACCCCCCAGAGTACTTGAGTGGCAGGTCCTACCCTTCGGCACAGCCTGCAGCCCGTGTTGTGCAACATACGCCCTACAATGTCTTACAGCAGATCCTAGCCAACCTGATGGAGACCTGAAGTTCTCAGTGGAGAACTGCTTCTATGTAGATAATTGTCTTCAAAGCCTGCAGACTCCAGATGAAGCTAAGTCACTAGTTGACCGACTCAGAGCCCTACTAGCCTCAGGAGGATTCAACTTACGCCAGTGGGCCTGTAACGATGCCAGTGTCCTGAGCCACCTGCCTCAAGAAGCTAGGTCTGACAGTCAGGTCAAATGGTTGGCCCAAGATAATACCGACCCCCAAGAATCTACTCTAGGCCTGAATTGGAACTGGGAAAACGACTCCTTGACCTACAAACACAGACCTGTGGCCTATGAAACAACCACCTTGAGGAACAGTTATAAAGTCCTGGCCTCCCAATACGACCCCCGAGGTCACCTGTTGCCCTTCACCACTCGAAAAAAGCTGATTGTCAGACAACTGTGGGACAATCAGCTTGCCCAGATGGAACGTACGAGGTTCACATCTTCTCAGACACTTCGGAGAAAGCTTACGGAGCTGTAGCTTACCTGAGGACCGAAGATGATGAGGATCGTGTGCATGTATCCTTTATCTTTGCTCGCTCACACGTAGCCCCCAAACGTGCACAGTCCATCCCACGCCTGGAACTCTGCGCGGCCCTCGTAGCAGCACAACTCGCCCAGCTCCTCAAGAAAGAACTGACCCTTCCAATAACCCGAATGGTGGTATGGTCTGACTCCACAACAGTTTTGACCTGGCTACAGTCACAATCTTGCCGTTACAAGGTCTTCGTGGGCACAAGAGTGGCCGAGATTCAAGAGCTCACCCAGAACTGTACTTGGCGCTACGTAGGGTCAG